TATATATATATGTGTGTGTATTTGGGCTCTTGGTTATCTGCTAAATTCTTACTATGGTATTTTTTCCCCTGCACCCCGCGAGCAAGAATCCTTCTGCATGTGCAAAAGTGCAATGTTTTTTTCACTACTGAGTGACTCGGATTCTTCATCCCGTACATAGTTTCTTTGTATGCCTTATCCAAGTTAACCTTGATTTCACGAAATTATACTCTCGTCCAATGTTCATAGGAGAATGCGACTGTCGAGGCGGAACATCGCAAGATTCCTGTCACGTCCGAACAGATGAAAGTTCTCACAAACGCCATGGCCAAACTCGCCATGACTGTGAAGGCAACGGGCAAGAATGTGGTACAAGACTCTTCAGAAGTGGAACCGGCGCGAGACGCGCTGAAAGAGAAGGAGATTGAGGACAAGAAGGCCGGAGAGCTGAATAAGAAGCAGGCCGAACGTACATTATTGAAGAAGCACTACACTGATCGTGTCCTGGAAGGACTCGCAGCTATCGCTGAGCGGTACAATGGAGGTGATATGACTCCGCTGGATGCTGCTGAACTGGTACGATATATTTCGTTTTCTCTCCTATATTGTGGTTTCTGTCTCGTGACGGTGTCGTATGGTTTTCAGTATCGTCGACTGCCCCTAGACACACTGACTAGTAATGTTGGGCTCGCACAGTGAAGATAATGATGAGCGTGTATCACCTTCCTTCAACGTCAGCTTATACTTCGGAGAGCCAATGCCATCATACCAGAGCGGGGGTTTACATTTGTAAACATCACCCAGGTGGAGAAGACACTGTTGTTGATCGGGGCGGCGGTTGCGGCTCTCCTTAGTACAACAAGGCCAGGTGAGTGGGTTTATCTAGGCTGTACCATATGGGTCCTTCTCGTTTGTTCACTTAACGCCAGGTGAGTGTGCTTAGAATTCATTGAATGCTCACACTGTTAATCTAGTTTTCTGACATTGAAAACTCACTCCAATCAGCTCTTACTTAGCTTACACCCTCTCCATTCTTCGATCGGTTTTTTATCCGAAAGTTGAGTTGGCAAAAATGGTACAAACACAAGCCGGTGAGATGCTGATGGTAATGCAAGAGTACATCCCGCACGCGTTGGTATGTTTGCAACTCAGCCGAATTATTTTCTTCTATAGACAATTACGAGCTGGGTTTATTTAGTGTTTTGGTACTTTTTCAGCTTATATCTGGTATCGTAGGTATTGTCAAGATAGTCGACAGCCATATTCTATTTAGTGTGTTAGTTTTAGTCGTCCTGGGATACTTGATTTGAAGTTGATTTGAACTTTTTATTACATGTTTACGCACTCGAATAGAAATGACCTTTTTCCATTCGGCTGCGAAATGTTCTTGTATTAGCTTTTTACCTTCTTAACTGCCTGCCGAGGATGTCGCTTTTGACACTTGTTCCTGTCTGTTTTCCTTCACATTGATCAATGCGTCCAATAGAACTGCCTGGATGGTATAATGGCGTACCACAAACTCAATCAGTCATCGAATCACAATACGAAGTCGCACCAGGACGACATGGTGGACCCAGATGTGTATGACGAGACGAAGAAAGAACTGGTATTTGTTTCTCAAGTATGCGTTGACGTATGCCATTCGCAATTGCTATTGGTCAGGCATAATCCGCATGCCGACTACTGGCTATAGTAGCAATTCGTCATCCCCAGAGCGCTCGGTACATTGTTTAGCTGTGTGCTTTTCACACGGCTAATAAGATGGGTTTTTTGCTTTTGCGGGGATAGGCACAAGCCGCTTGTACTGTTCCTGGTCGAGTCACAATGCAAAAAGGGTCGACATTTTCTAGTTAACATTGTATCCTCATGTTCATGATGACTTTCGTAGTGTTTTGTCTTGATTTGCCGCTAGAATAGTCCTAATTACATCTTCTTGGGATGGTGGTCTTTGAGAGTGCTTCGTATCATTAGATTGGGCTACCGAGCTGCTCGCTAGAGATACACAAAATAATCCACTCATTGACCTTTGGGATCACACTGATCAGGAAAACCTTGCGTTTCGATATTTATTCAGAATGCGAAGAAAAGTGATTTGAATCGGATCCGCGAACGTGTCAAGTCACTGCGCGCCGACTACGGCAATGTGCGGTCACAGTGGACTGCAGCAATCAATGTATGTTGTTCGACTTGATAGGTTGATAGGCTACGTATACGCTATAGGATGTACTTTTTATTATCGCCCGCCAGGCAGTCTGTTACGGGATAAGGGCTTAGGTTCACTCTTGCTCTTATGCGTATGACTGTTCCACAAAGTTCAGAAAGGTGTGCATACAAGCAACATCATGAATTAACTATCCATCTTCACAACGCGAACGCACAAACAGATTGAGAAGAAAAAAGTTGGTATGGACTTGATTCCGGAGAAAGCACGTGCGCTGGATATAGAGATCCAGACCCTCGTGGAAGAGTTGGTACCAACTCGAGAGGAGGAAGCCTCGAAGGAGTCAGTCAGGGCTTTCATTGAGTCCATACTGAAGGAGTGGCTGCCCGACAGTGAAGTACTTCTGTTCGGCTCTTCTCAGAGGTACTGCCCGGCTTTCAGAGCTTACGATGTACTGTAGAGCTGTCCTGTTTGTACACTGCGTTCGTGTGTTGTGGAGCGGAAGTTCTTAATGTGACCATACAATACAGACTGGTGTGTTTTTATTTCTGGCCCTATGACAATACAATACAGCAGTCTGTGCTTTAACGCGAAGGTCGTTGCACGCGAGTGTTCATATCGTAGACGGCAGGCGCGGTGATCGCAAATTGTCTCGGCAGAAAGAGTTCAAGGGTTTGTATAAACGCTTTCACGTACCTGACATTGCCCTAGTATTCATATCTGCTGTGTCGCGCCTGCTGTTTGTGGTGACATGCCCTTGTTGCTTGATGGGCTTGTGGCTTCCTGCCCCCTGCAGACAATAGGTATGCGCAGATGCGTCCAACAGCGATATTCTCACAGTGACATAAACTTTGCAGGTTGTTTTTGTAAAATTTTGTGTATCGTTTGCCTGCCCTATGTATCCGATTGAGAGGGGGAAAGGACGAGGTACCGCACCCGCAGAGCTCAAATTGTATGCTTTATATCCTTCTTGCAGTGGGTTGGGATTCAAGGGCTGCGATCTAGATATGTCCCTTGTAGTTTCGCCCAAGGATCTGACGAAACAACCGACGCTTTCGCCGGAGCTGCAGGGTTGCAATGAAGATCTGTACAAGGCCGATACCCGCGACGTGCTGCCTCCAAGAAAGGTGTGCAAAGAATACATGTTGAAACATCAGGTAGATTGTTGTTGTGTATGGGCCTGAACAACCTATTATTGATCATCGGTTGGTTTTCAATCGAATATATGAATCGTATGCATGTATCGGTACAATGTGTGTACATACATATTTATGTGCGCAGTGTTACTATAGTCGTGTCAGTTCTTTCCCGACTGGATGTATCTTGAAACCTACTTGGCAAGTATCACGTGCCCTTTAGATTCCGATATATAAGACGTGAGGGGTGATTGACTAGTTGTAGTGGGTCCTAATCTGAGAGCTGCTTGGTACTTTCTCTTACCTCGCCCTTCCGTTATTTCACTGTGCGTGTTTTGGATATCGATGCTGACTCCAACTTGGAAACTGCGCAGGATTCTGAAGACAACGAGAGCCCTCTCGCAGATAATGACACTCCCGCAGATGGGACTCAAAATGAAGGTGGGAATGACAAGTCAAAAGAAACAGGTGACGCTACAAAGACTGCCGAGACCAAGGGACTGTCTTCTGAAGGCAAAGTGGTTCTGGCCATGAAGAAAATATTCTCGGCGGTCAAGCAAGACAGGGTCTTTACAGATGTATGTTGTGTTATCTATAGTGTAATGGGTTATTGAATATATTCCAGCATGTCAATCTCTATCTGTGAGTGCTTACCTTTTCACGCTTCCATATATATATATGTGTGTGTGTGTGTGTGTGTGTGTGTGTGTGTGTGTTTGAATATATATATATGTGTGCGTGTGCGTGTGCGTGTGTGTATGTATGTATATATATATATCATATTAAACCCCCTATCTACATTGTTTGTTCTTGCCACAGATCCTTGCCATCACCACTGCTCGCGTGCCGATAATCAAATTCGTACACTCGCCTACGGGTTATGAGTGCGACATCTGTATTAACAACACCTTAGCTGTGCAGAATACCACTCTGCTGCGACTGTACGCCCTGTTCGACCGCCGCGCGCGTGAGGTGAGTACTTCATGTAGTCAGTATGACGCTTATGGGCTGTTTGTTCCAATCATATGCAGAGTTTTAGTATGAGTTCGCTGTATACATCATTATCAGCGCGACGGATGTATCAACCGTGTTGTGTATTCAACGCATGTGTAGGATGAAGTATAAAGTTGGTGTGCACAACAGAATGCTCTTATGTGTGCGACAAGTGTATTGCCAATGCCTTCGCTGTGCAGAGCTCAGCTCTACTGCGGCCGTAGGGCTCTGGCCATCGGCTGTGACCGTAGAGTGCTTTGTCTATACTGCTAGTGGATGAGATTAGTTATACGCAGAGATGAGTATGGTACTGTGTGCAGAGACGTGGAAAGAATAGAGAGCACGCAGTTTGGTCAGTATACAATGAAATCAGTCAGGTGTCGTCGTAGAGGCGTCTGCTTCTTCTGGAGCGGCGCAGTTTAGGTTTGAAAACGGCTGAATCTCGAGATACTTGAAGCTTGAGAAGCTCTACATGTTTGCAGCGTCCTGTAGGTACCGCACTAGGTTGCACTGCTATACTGTGGCATCTACGTCTGTGTAGTCCTGTGCGTATCCATGCTATGCTGACAGTTGGTTTGCGCACCTTTTGCAAGTGAGAGATCTGGCTCATAGTTTTTGAGAAACTTTTTTCCTATGAGATGATCTTTACGATGTGTCTTTTCATTTTGTTCGTGCAGATGCGCTGAGCACTTGTGTCCCTACTTGATTCGCTGCCATGGGATTAATTGAGCTTCACTAGGGGTGTATATCGTGGCCATTTTCATTCGTTCCACCCATTTTGTATACGTTTACTCGTTTCCATTCTTCCCATATCATTGAAAGTCCATGCTACAATGCAACACAAAACAAGCCGACTTCAGGGCATATATATCAACCGTCTCACCCCATTGATTAGCTCAGACGATCTTGACACAAAACACAGCACAACCGTAATACCTTGCTTTCCTCACCATATCATTTGACTTTGTTTATATCCTTGACCTGGTGTGTAGTTGATGCTGGCAGTCAAATGGTGGGCCAAGCGCCGGGGTGTCAACAACTCTGCTGGCGGAACCCTCAGCTCATACGCATACGTGATTATGACGGTATGTGCGTGCAGTAAGCTTCAGCATTGGTTTTTTAACTACCCCTGATATATATACGTGCTCGTGACAGAAGGTGCGCTCTGCATGGTCCAGTATTAGTAACTTCTTGTATTCACACTTCATACACGCCGTAGTATTCATAGGATGTGGGATGTTATTCGCTTTGCGGGTACCTGGATACCTGTCGCTTCTTTCGCTTTCATACACTCGTGATCCCAACAGTATGTGTGCTGATCATACCTCAGCATTGGCTTCCTACTATTTGCAATCCGTACCTGTACGTGTCATTAACGATCTCTGCGCCATCAGCATAGCCAGGTGAAAACATACGTCAGAGTCTGGCATAAACGTGTCGTTCAAGAATGTCTAGCCCATCTCCACACAAATCTCGCTACCTTAGCTCTCCGCAGATGTGATTTCGCTGCCGTGTGCACTCGACGTGCGCCTCTAATTGACCTGTCTCGTTTTGCGTGCCACGCCGTTGGGCCTGACTCGCTACTCATACCCATCACGCACGATGTTTGTCTGCACATATGCACATATTCCTGGTTTATAGTGCTGGCAGTGTGTACCTACCCGCGCACGTGTTTTCTCTAAGCCATTTTGTAGGTGAATGCATGGCAGCGGTTCAGCGTGCTGCACATTATCCTAGACGCCGACTGTGCACCGTACATGCATGTGTGCATACAGCATCTCATATCCTTCTCTGTGTACAATCATTCGGCACATCCGGTGTCGTGGGTGTAGATACATTTTCTGCAACACGTCAAGGTGCTGCCAAACCTACAAGACGCCCGCCTGTGTCGGGACAATGCGGCGAAGCACTCGGACGGAGCTGTCTTCTGTGAGGACCTCAAACGAGCCGAACGGGTCTTAGCGTACCGCAACCCAAGCACCATCGGAGAATTGCTGGTATGTACGGTCAGCTCACTATCAGTGGATTGCTGGTGTTACGTTTTTTAGCACGATCAGTAGCAGTGAATAGCAAAAGGCTCGTTCGAACAATCCTACCCCGTGTAATGGATATGGCTGTGCATGTGCTTTGATGGTGTGTGTGCGCGACAGGAGATCAGAACCCACCACTCCCTGCACGGGTGGATGGTAAACGTGTACGCCTCTTTCCAGTTTAAGGCTTTTGGATCAAGCCACGTATACCTTTATTTTTCACGTCTATTCTCGTCATTGGGCCCGCAATACAAATAACGTAATCGTTCTATACGTACATGGCTATTTTAATGAGCGTGTCACAATATCAGAGTCCTAGCATCTTTGACAGAGTACACCCGTTGGGCCAATCGTTTAACTGCAATGCACTATACTAGCACTTCTCTTTATACATTGTATATGTTCTGTGCCTGGCTTGTTCCTCCCCCTATGGCCATCTGGACTACACGCATCTGCGCAATCTCCGCCTCCACGTTTCAAGCTCGCTATATCTGCTGATGTCGATCCTTTACTTGCTCCTTTTAAAACTATTCTCCTTATATTCTACGTGCAGATGCAATTCTTCAACTACTATGCGTTCAATTTCAGTATCTCGGAACAAGCCGTGACGATACGAGCGTCGCAGCTGGTAAGTGCATCCAACGCGTACTAATAATGTACACAAAGTTAGCCCCAATTGCCGTCTGCACGGTCACAGAAGATAGTTCGGCTATTCTGTTTGCTTTGGCACTGTTGCTTGGCGAAGTACAATTCGGCTGTTTCGTTGATGTTGGCGCAAGTCTATCGTATGCTGCCAAATATCTCAGCTAGTGGTTGTCTGACACCCCACCTATCGGCTCTGTCTTGATGCAGAGGAAGAAAACGTATAGGCCGAGCACGCAACAACGCCGGTGGAGGTGTGTTGAACCGCTGAGGCTCTTCTCGTGGTGGTAGTCATAGGTTGTATCGACGTGGGATCAAAGCCCAAGTGGTAGATGTTGTGGTGCTAATGTATCCGTCTTGTGCGGACAGTTATTGTATACTGATACTGCGCTATCTTACGCATAGTCATGGTTGTGCAGATGAGTTAATATGTTTTATTTCTCAGTCTGAGGTATGTAATATGATGTTTTACCTTACGCCGATGGCAGATGTCAATGGGCTACATCAAACAGGTTTGTGGCATGGTTAGTGTTTTGTGGAGCTGTTGTGTGTGTGTGCTTTGCGGATGGGGTTCTTACTGTACTGTGAATATCTGTATGCGCCGAAATTACCATGTGCCTCACTTTTTTTTTACACTCTCTCGCCCATCGCCACGCCCTATGATGATAGCTTCCTCTCGCTGCAACTGGTATCTCAAAAGTGAACGTTACGATCGCTCCAATACATGATGTGCGTAGCTATATTGTGTATCACGATATGTATAAAATATGGCAAATAAGTATTCACCGCCGCAGTACACCTATCCCACTCATATCACCGCACACCATGCCTTATCGCGTGACAGGATTACTGTTGAGGATCCGTTTGAGAATGAGCACGATCTGGGGTCGGTGGTGTTCGATCATCAAGGCATGGTAGAGATTGTGACCGAATTCACTCGCGCGTGCTATGAGGTGCAGAGTGGCTCCTTTGTGGACCATGTGGCTGTGCCAAAGGAGGGTGTAGAGGTGTGTGTGTAAATGTGGGGGGGAGCTCACGCACACGTGAACATATGCTCGAGCTACCGTGCACCAAATCATGTCAAAATATTGAAGCATGAACTCGCTAAGTTTGTAAGCAATGCATGCCAGATGAGTTAAGTACCCTTCGCACACGTGGACGTGCGGCACACACTATATTTGTGTCGCAATTCATATCCAAACTCGTCAATTATTCCTGTAAAATATATAGCACTCACAGCCGCTATCACTTGCCTTGCATCAGAAAATCGTTCGCAGATGCAACGCTTGCGCAGATGACGACCATGCGTCTAAACACTGTCCACTCGACGCGAAGATATGCCGTAACTGCGGTCTGGAGGGGCATATAATGGCCAAATGCCCTGAGCCTCCAGGCCGGACTGCGGGGATGTGCTTTAAGTGTGGTAGGAACGGTCACTGGGCTCGTGACTGCCCTGGCGTGCCACAGAGAAGCAATAACATCAATCGAAGGGGAGATAATAATAATAATAACAATAATCCAAGGGGATATAGGAATGAGAGGAATGAGGGGAATAGACGCGACGCTCCTAGAAACGGCCGACCAGGTGTGTATGTGTGAGAATTGTTGCACTACTGTTTCTGTTTGGGGTCCTTGAATGTCCTTGGAATCTAGGTTTCACGTACTGGATAATTTGCTAACTAAGGCACACATAACCTTTTCGCCTGTTTCCCGTGGCAGCCGTCCTTGTCGTATATCTCATAATTCCCTCGAGGACAAAAATTTCATGTAATCCCCAAAATATATTTCTTACCCTAACTTCCTTCCTCGTGGTGCTTACACGTGCCGCACTTACTTGACTCGCCAGACAACCGGAACGCACAGCAGAATCATCGAATGGGAGATAGGGCCAGAGGCGATGGGCCGATTCCGCATCCGCAACAAGGCCGTCGGCAGTCACACACGCGCGATCGATCACCTCAGCAGCACAACCACAACTCACCGCAACAACCCAACAAAGCCACCCAACAACGTAAGAATGCGCCGCTTTTGGAGAACGCGCCACAACAACACACCAATGACAGCAACGTGGCCCAGCAACGTAGCGCAGGGCAACAGCACAGTATTACCACGCAGCAACGTCGCGACAACGCACAGCGCCCCAATGGGCGAGATGCACCCCAACCCAGCCACCCACACAACAACCCGGCACAGGGGAAGGATAACGGTAGTAAAAACGACAGTGTGCACGTTAGTGGGTCTGTACAGCAACAGAGAGGAAGTGTTTTTACGAAGGCTCTCACCGGATTGCGCAGCAATGAGGCCACGGCACCGATAGCCTCGGACGTTGTGAAGCAGACGTCCAGAACCGCAATAGACTCTGGAGGTGGTGAACAAGATAGCACAACGAAGGGGAACGGCAGCATGATCGTCTTGACTAAGAACACGAAGCGTGGCAGTAATAGTAATAGCGGGGTAGGTAAGAAAACCAACGGCATAGCTCGTGGGGACGAGGCGAAGTTGGGAAAGCACGCGAATGCGGAGCAGCAAGCTCAGACCGGACCGACTACACGTGGGAAGGGGCAGACGAATACCAGAAAGAAATTCAATGTGGAGAATAAGACTGAAGGCGCTGATACATCGGGTGCTAAATTCGGAGGGGGTTTCAGTGCCGGTGCGCAAGTGGGCAGAGGTGAGGTGACGCAGGGGAACGCTGAGATGGCTGAGAAGAAGAAGCGGAAACCCAAGCCCTGGAAGAGTATCAAAGAGGTACAACCAGCACAGGAACAATAAACGGGTGGCACGTGGTATATAGGCGGCTGGGAAAGCTACTTCTGTACTTCCCTGATGTTTGCTGCTGCTGTGTTGATCGGGCGGCAAGACTCGCCCACCCATCAGATTGGTTAGCCGGTATCGATCGGACGTATTGGGCATACCTTGTGATCTCAAATAGTCAGCACATATTGACGAGTGTTGGCCAGCTAACTAGCTTGAACAAGTGGGTGAATCTGTGTAGTATACGTGGGTCAACCTGCGGCCGAAATTCACGGTTCTTCACGTCTCATTGCGATCAATACCAATACGGGTAAAAACTGGGGTTTCCGTATGTAAGCTATTGCTGGCTAAATTGTATTTAGATAGTCGATGATCTGGGGCACTGCGGGCAAAAGCTTGTATGCTGGTTATCAGAATATCGAGGACAATGAAATTTAGATCATTGAGCAGAGGCGAAGGAATTATAAATCACGAAGCATGCCATGTCGTATATAAACTTTTAGTACCTAAACGATACTCCAACTCAATTTAGAAGCAATGCATAATAATTAATGAGCGCGAATATATGAACCTTCGGTAAGAATTCGAGGCACCATAGTAGACATGAAATGTTTGTCCCTGGAGTTGGAAATTTGTGTGGAAACTGTGGTCTAAGGAGTTGATCGTATTCTGCAAGCAAGAGTATTCATGTGAAAATTGGCCCCCAAGTTCTAGTTCTATAATAATAATAAAGTGCGATCACAATTGTCAAAATCTGGAATTCTGGCTAGTTCAAGTGTAACTGTTGGCCTTTGTAAATGTTCGTCTTGAAAGCACTATTATTTTCGTCCTTGGCCGTACAATAAGCCTTTTTGAACATGAGAGGATGTTCAATCCCTTATAAGCTGATGGGTGTCCGTAAGGACTAAGGAGGGACTCTGACATTGACATAGGGTTTTCCCGTAGCCAATATCCAACGAGGATTCACGCTTGAATTAGCCATGTAAATATGTAAATAGTGCCCATCTTTAGACTTGACTGCTTCTGGTAATAGCAAACGCCAAACTTGCAATAGTAAAAATAGACAAGAAGGATTATCAAGAATCAAGAAGGGTCAACTGTATCTTGTTCTATGCTCAGAATATCAAGTACAATAGGTCCTCGCAACTTGTCCCTGACCGTCACAGAAAAAAATTGAGGCATCTGTCTCGAGTGGACACCCCTAGCGGTCATCTGATTCGTCGAGAGGATTTCGGCCGATCCGACCATATCTTAGGTACCTTTATTCACATAGTGTTCCAGGCTAAAACACCATATTAAGTACGTATTATAGTGAGCATTCGTGCGGTCTTATCGACGTATAACTCTTTATATTCACATTCAGTTGCGAAAGTCATGGTTGTCGGCTTGTAGCTGTGTACGCATTAAGCCGTGCGCGTATATTTGTGACATTTTGAAATACTGAGTGCTTTTGTGATGTAGAAATCAAACGTCTGTGTTCAATGTTGCCATGATTGTGTGCCTAAGTACACAATAAAAATAAAAGAGCGTTTGATTGAATCAAGCGTATATTAATTTTTTCGCACCAATTGAAATAATCTTTTGTAAAGAACACCAATGGCTACACGTCTCATGAACGGTATTCGCACCGGCAAAAGCTTACTAACTAATTTAAAAAATGCAACAATACCTTTGTAGAGAAAACCAAGGCTGTTAATACTAGCTAAAATAAAATACAATCATGCCGCAACGCAAATAAAGGCATGTCTATCGAAGTGGACAAGTAAAAAGAGGACATGTTGCAAGAACGCACTGTAGTTCTTAGTAATAGGAAAGAAAACAGTAACGAAATCTAAATTACACTCCTTTTATGTATTGTTTAGACAAGAAGTTGCATATCCTGTTTTATCACGATTATTTTCATTCTAAACTCCAAAGTAACTATACTAATCTGCATCCCACTATTTTCTACCCAAGCTTGCTTCCCTCAGGCTGCCTTGTACAATATACCATGAGGCATACCCCATGTCCTCCCTTATTTTATGTTGTGTTCGATATTTTTAACAACTGTCTTTAAATCGGACAGTAAACAACTCACCCTTTGGGTCTTTGTTCCACTCTTTATTAAGATTTTTGTCCTTTTACTGTATACAACAGCTAAATAGTAAATACAGCTATAAGGAAAATATTATTTATTTCAATTTGGATAAAGTTTTAAATGTCTACATGTACATCAGGCTTCATATTCGTTGGAAAGGCTCTGGGAAAATTGAAGGGAAGTTGAGATTGTCGAACTGCCGCGAGAAGCTCGGGGCGAGTGATGCAACAATGGAAGAAACACGGTGCGTTAGTTCACGGCGATGGATACAGAATACCTCTACCATTGGGTAAGAACCAAAACCTGTGTGCCACTGCGTGGAATAAAGCTGGCCCACACTTGTAGTGGTAATATGGGCTGAGTCGGTCTGAGATATTTTGAACGTGATACCAAGGAGGGTGAGGTTGTCATCCGCAATTCTGTTTCGGAGCGAAGTTGGAGGCTGTCCGATACCACACCACACAACTGATGTATTTGGAATATCCTGGCTAGCCATAGCGGGAAGTATCATAGGTGGTACCAGAAGTCTCGAAGATTTAGTCTGTACCGAAATCTGGAAATGGTATTTCAGTAAAGTGATGAGACGGGGTATGGGGAACATCAATCTATCGACTAATACTGGATGGGGATAAATTGGCGCCTATTGTTCATGGAGAAGGAAGCTCCCGATATGTTTGAGGAGAGTCCATATGCCGTGCTAATCATGACGATCCTGTAGTTGTTGTAGTAAGTCCGGTCCAATTGGGGTAGATTAGGGCCACCAGAATACGCGTTATCAGAGAGCTGATACAGGCAAAGTTGCTGGACGTAAAAGTCTTATTTTCAGGGCACACAGGACAGAGGCCCCCACCAGCACGATAGTCAAGCATTTTGAACAGGAACGTGTTGGTTGCTATCATGGCACAAAGGCGGATTGGGGTGAGTTCGTGGCAATGGGTGAAGCTATCACGGGATGGTTGGTCCCGATCCGTGGTGGGAAGTTCTCCCGTTATTAGTCGATAGTTGTATTGTCGGCGAGTCCTGCCTGCTATCTCCTTGGTTGTGAAACATTGTGTGGTATCATGTCGGATCTGCTCCCGGAGCTTATGGAGTTCTTTATGTTGTATCTAATATTCGGTAATTTTGCCTTCTATGACAAAATCCGTTTAAAAAGAAAGGGACTTTAAACCCTATTGACTTCTTAAGGTCATATTTTGAGATGTTCCGCCATTAAAGCCAATGCTTCTCACCTCAACGACGTCATGCTTGAATCAAGCTGACATTTTTCTAGTGTGTAACTATGGATGATCAGTTAGCACGATGAAGATAAATATCCTCTAACATGATTTCGTTATTTGAATATAACTATCTCATTTGCTAGTGAGAGGGAACGAAATGATCAATTTCGAAGAACCCCCCTCACTAGAACTCCAAACAAACTGTTGCGAGCGTGGGTCTGGAGATCTCCTGTTATGTAGACAACTCACCCTTTGGGTCATTATTCCGCTCTTTATTGAGATTTTTGTCCTTTTACTATTTACTATAGCTAAATAGTGCCTAATATTCGGTAATTTGCCTTCCAAGCTAAAATCCGTATAAAAAGAAAGGGATTTTAAACCCTATTGGCTTCTTAAGGTCATATTTTGAGAATTTCTCATGTTCCGCCATTAAAGCCAATGCTACTAACCTCAAGGAATTTATGCTTGAATGAAGCTGACAGTTCTCTAGTGTGTAACTGTGGATGATCAGTGAACACGATTTAACATGATTTCGTTATTGGAATATGACTATCTCATTTGCTATATAAAAAACCCGAAATGATTAATTTCGAAGAAAAACCCTCACTATAACTTCAAACAAACTGTTGCGAGCGTGGGTCTGGAGATCTCCTGTTAGCCCCGGTCGACTATAAGAAAATACTGCAGCCCTTTGATGTCAAGTGTCATGTCTTGACAGCAAGTGCTCTTAAAGATGCAAGACAATCCATACGACCGATCTGTACATATATTTTGGGACTAATTTGCCCTAAATATATAAGGTTTTTATATCTCCCAGAACACAGCTTCCCCAGAGTTGTGCAAGCACAATGCGAGCAATTAATACTGGGGTTTATCAGGTTTTTTAAACTTCCATTGAGTATTATAAGACCTTTGGGGTATATTCTTATCAATTTCATCAAAGTTTTGAGGCAAATGCAACTTTGCTTTTGTCGCCTTATTCTATTTTAATAAGACATTTATATCGTAGGCCATTTCGGCAGCAATAGTTGTGCATTCTGCTTTATTCAGATGATTGGATAGGGTGCACAACAACTTTGCAATCAAGTTGCTATCGACTGTTGATAAGCGCGTATCATTGCCGTAATTCTCAAAACCATCCTTGTGTTCCAAATCGAGTCTTGCTACCGCCTCAGGGGTACATTCCGCGAGGAATTAGCAAAGACGAATCTGATATGCCAGATGATCAAAAACAGCGGTTTTGTCATCGCAGATAGTGTCGTTGTAGTAGAATAGTATAGCCAGGCTAATACGCGAAGCTCGCATAACATCCGCTGCAGAACTAAATGTTTCCTTGCGGTTACGATGTTTCGCCACGCCCGGGTTTCCACTTGTCAACTCTGATCCTTGTCCTTTAAGGTGGATCAGACGCACGGCTCGTTTCACGTCATCAAGCGTAATCAACTTGCCCTTAGAAATCGCCACCTTGGAAGTCTCCAGCATTGTTGGGAACAATCCTCGGAGCTGCTTGTTCAGCTCATAGTAAGTACGATCTTTGTTGCCGTGAACATCGTAGCCAGTTGGGTACGCAGGCTAAGTAACTCGTCCTGAGTACTGGCAGTGTACTCGGCAAACATGGCTTTCAGATCAGCCACACTCGCTGTCTCAGTGGAGGCACTATCTTTCCCTTTTGGTGTCTGGTCGGTCTCGACTTCCTCATCGTCTTGTGAGTGAATATCCTCATCTTCCTATGCGGGGTCAATGTTGGTTCTTTTGGTCGCGCTCTCCTGAGTCATATCTACCTCTGATATCCCCGTCGTGCGCTTCGCCGATGCGGGGTTAGTTTCTGGCGGAGGTGCTGCTGCTTTAGATCACATAGTAGGAGTAGAAAAAACTCCGTGTAAAACTGTCTACTACTCTAGTAGAGTGTATAGGCAGCTATGAAAAGGGAGAACTGTCTTTTCGAATTCTATCTTATATAGAACATAGGAATATCTGGGACCAGTCTCTGTCTTCCCTCGACCATGATTGTATTAACCATTTTCATACCAACTTCTTTTGAGATTATGACGATACTTATCTTGTACCTTTTTAAAAGCAGTATAGAGCGCCAAAGCTGATGCTCTGTCCATTCTTCTTCAGTTTTGAGTTTGTTTGGATTGTCTAGTCCTCCTAATAAGAAGGGTTCTCGACCCTAGAAATATGCATATGGTCAGGTGTCTTATTGAGACCTTAAAATCTCTTCTGACGCATCTTTCTAAAGATTTTTGGAATATTTTAATATCTTCATAAGAATTTCTTTCTGACCAGTCATGCGTATCAGATTTTAATATTATTCGATGCTCTGGCTTCACTAGCAATGTTAGTACTCTTTGTAGATTTGTTCGGCATTGCCTTACTAGCCTTCTTCGACTTTTTCTTTGGCATTTCAGAAATCGATGAAGTTTTGGATCTCTTTCTTGATTTAGATATAGATCCTGCTACTTTCTTGGCTGCTTCTCGTGCCTTTTTAGCAACACGTTCCCTAGTCCTTTCCCTCTTAATCTGCTCCTTTTTCTTCCGACAAGAAGGCTGAACAGTGGGCTTTGGACCTTTAAATAGGAACGAGCTCCTCTTAACATAAGTCACAAGCTGAAAAAGATAGTATATTTCCATCATCTGAAGGCACGGAAGTTAAAACTTACCCGCCAACAGCATTTATCCCGAGCTTCACTGCTCATCCTTCGTATGTTCCACGGCCAGTTGTCGAGAAAGACATCTTGACTGAGGCTGGCAGCGTGCTCCATGAAAGTGTGCAGGGTGGTGGCAGAGGCGGCCGGGGCATATGTCTCGTGGTACAATATACCGTATCCCTGCTGGTTGCCTCTTGCGACCAGGCTGCCCTTTGAGAACAGGCAGGGGACTTCTGGGCCTGCTTGATACTGCCAGGTAACGTGGTGTTCAGAAGAGTGGGCAACTCGAAGAGCGTAATGGTAGTTAGGTCATCTGTGGTGGCTGATCGAGCAAAAACAAATTCAGGGTTTGGACAGTCAAAATCAGCAGTGTGATCACTGAGGTCTTCAGGAGAATTTAAGCCGTCGTCAAAAGAAACGTTGGACGAGTCCGAAAATTGTTGGAAAGAATTTATGCTCTCGTCGAAGACGGTAACGGATGTTTCTGAGAGACAAGGGGTTGTTTCAAGAATGAATCAAGGTATGTAAGGCCCAGGCCTGAGAGAATTTCACGTTCGCGGATGACCTTTTCGGAGTTGTCAGTAAGTATTAACAGAAAACGACTTTTCTCGATCGAACTATAATAAATTGCGTGCGCGCTTTGTGTGGTCAACAGTAATTCGAGCGACAAAAAGGTAATGAATGATGTTTTTAATAGATCGGCGACCACAACAGATGCCATTTTAACCCATTTGGTTACATATTGTATATTGTAGGGAGCCAACAGTACCATTTTTATTGTTGTGACCTTTAGTGCCACAACGGCCACAGCCGATGGGACTCTTAGATGAATGGTGAGTGGTCTTCCAGGAGAAAAAAAACATGTCTGAGCATAAACAGGTCGACGGGAAACTTCGAGGCGACGAGCAGTAGCACGAGAGGCACGTTGCGCGGCCGTGAGTTGCTCTGGGTCGGTACTGTGCCAATCGTCGAGTAGGTCACAAAGGGCGATCGGCGTGAGAGTAGCGCAGAGTGCTTTATCAGTCATGTATTGCCGTGATTGCTCTTGGTTTCTTGAGAAAGATCAGTGAGGTAACAGTCGTTGATGAAGTTTCTGGTAAAAAGAAGACCTTGAAGTTCCGCATCTGATTAAAGCTTTTTGCACCTAATGACTCAAGCCCGGGAGTCCTCCTCGAGCTCAACCCGGGCGTCTCGCAGGTATGGCGTGAGTGAGCACGAGGCACGAGTCCACGATCATTAAATATTTTGTTTTTAAA